TTGTATTAAAATTCAAAAATTCTGTATTAAATATACAATAAATATTTTTATTTCTAATTAAATATTATAAAAAAACTATAAAACATTAAAATGAACAACTTTGCTTATTCAACCAAAGTTGATTAAATTAATAAAAAAAAGTTTAATTTGAGGTCAAAATTTCTGTCAATTTTCTAATTTTTAAGTGCCCAGTGACTTTTGATACCCCACTGTACCTGTAAAATTTGCTTTAGAATATACTATATATTCTGATTTCGTAGTGATCAAAAATAATCTTGGAAGACCAGTGCTTCCAAAAAAAATATTCATGTCGGGATTCATAAGCATTAAGTCTTCTACTTTTTCTTTTTTTTACTAATCGTAATTTTAAGACGTAATCTTTGCATGATTTTAGTAGTACTCATAGTTAAGGATAATTTGTTTTACTTATTCTAATTTATCAAATAATAATAATAATATACGTAAATATCCTTTTTTTTATTATTTCTTAAAAATGGATAGAATTTTTAAAAAAGAAGTTTCAGATTTATTTTAGATAATACAAAAATACTAAAACTTGTAAATCATCCACTTCAAAAATTATATCATTCCGTTCAACTTCTAGATCAGTATTTAAATGTTACTAATGACTTACTAATATTTTATAATTTCAAATTTTGATAAGCTCAATGCATCATTAAAAGGAATAAAAACTTTATTTATACTATAAATAATTAATTGAATAATAAATCTTACTTAATTCACATACCTCATCATTGCCACCAAGTCTTTTATTATGACAGACAACTTCTTGAAAAGTATCATTTCCAATAGTAAATTGAAAATCATGACTACGTAAAAATTGTTGACTTAAATTAACATTTTTAATATTAATAATATCATTTGATTTCAAATATCCTTGATCATTTTCTATTTTACTATTATTAAACTTCCATTGAGTATAACTACTGTTGAAGTTACAACTTACTAAAATTAAATAATACATCAATATTAAACCCTTTTTTAAAAAATATATTTTGAAATAACAAAAATTAATGACTACCTTCCGTGTGCTGAGTTACTGGAGATTTATAAATACCATAATAATAAATTCCAAGAGAGGCACTAGAATTTTTGTATTGTAAACATATTTTAGTATCAGTGTATGAAGCTAGTTCTTTACCGCTAGTAAATTCAATATTCCATAAAGCATCTGAATCAAGCAAATTATTTGCAAAAACCTAAATTTATTAAATTATAATTATAGAAAATTTTATCTAACATAACCAAATATTTATAAAAAGACATACCAATTGAGATGTGCTTCCAGTTGGATAACATAAACCACTAATTGAACTTAAATATTTTCCTGTTGCAATGTGTTTTAAAGCTACAATACATCCGTTTCTAATTAAATTTGGTTTATCTATAATAATTTTGCCAAATTCTTGGATTAATTCATTTGTTGATTTGATATTTTTCATTTTCTTATAAAATTCATTTAAATTATAATAATTATTTGAAAGTGATAAATAAAAGTAATTCTTTTGTTCTTCTATATCATTGATCTCAGCATTATAACATAATTGGCGAAAGTTTGAAAGAAATTTTGAAGTATCGCCGCCTTCTCTCTCGGGAATATATTTTAATGATTGTAATTTCTTCTTATTTGTATACTTGAATACTGTAAAAGAAAAATCTTCTTTAAGTGCATTATGAAGTTTTTCAAAACTATCAATTCCGCTTTGGAGTTTGATGGTGGCATTCACTAATGAAATTGCATAATTTATATGAATATTTTCGTCATATTTTGCAAAAAAAAGTCTTAAATAGGTTTGAATATCATTTATCCATTCATCTGGATGAATATTTCCGTCATATTTTGGAAAGTTCATTTTTTTAATTTTTATATGTTTATTTTTATTATTAAAAGAATTGGGGAAAAGTGTGCCAACGTTTGTAAGACGGATTTAATCTTCATTTATCTTAATTAGTATTCACTTGCCAAATGCAGAAACAAAAAAAATTCAGTTTAAAATCACGTTTAGGATCATTTGAATCACAATGCCTCGTGACTTGATTCACTAAAAATTTTATGAATATATATATAAATAAAGATTTTTTTCACAAATTTTTTGTTTTCTTTTTCATAATTGCTTCGAGAAGTATATCATTATATTGACTCATAAATTTTTGACTTTCTTGTGAAATTCTAACATAAATTCTTAAATTTATTTGGATTATTTGATTAGCAAATTTCTTTTATACCTTAATATGAAGAACGACCTAAATTAGTTTGAAAGAATTACAGAATTTTATCATTTCACATTATTTCTTTATGAAGTATTAATTAATAATAATGTATACCTAACGAATCGTATTCGTGTGACTCGAGTCAATTCGAGTTAAATTTTGATTCGAGTCAAAATTTTATAGATATTAATTAATTCGAATCTAGGCTCAATGCTTATTCAAGTTAACTACTCGATTTCTTACTCGCGCTAACTACATAAACTTCGAGTGCATTCAACACTTTAATAAGGTACCATACAATTTATTTCTTAAATTCTAGCCTGAGATACTAGGTGAAATGTTATTTTTATAGTATTTTTTTCACCAGAAGGTAGATAATCGAATTTATATAATTGATGTTTTTCTTGGCGAAAATTAATATAATTCAAATAATTCATGCTTTAGTTTATATTAATAAAATCGTTACTTAAGATACCGGCATTGTAACGATTACAAAAAAATTTTTTTTTTTAATTTTAATCACTGAAAATTTTCTAAAATTCGTACTACTATATACTACAATTAAAATTTTAAACTTTAATTTCAATACTTCAATTAAAAATATATAAATGCATAATTTAATAAATATAATATATTGATACAAAATGTAAAATACAATTTCATTTGTATTAGTTATTTACCGCGAAATCAGAGATATCATCAGGTGTCACGGCGCAGCCGTGACCTGATGATGTCGGCGATTGAGCGGTAAATAACTATTATATTTCCCGATTACTAACGCCCGTGATAAGAAAATCACA